GAAACACATCTCTGGTGGGAAAATGCGCATATTGTTTTAATGCAGATTCTAGAATATTCGCATGAAAATCTGTCGCCAATTGGATGGAAACCTAGATACTGACATAATCCTCACACAGTATTTATCTTTCTCTCTCTTGCTCTGTCTTTGTCTCTGTCTCTCTCTCTCTCTCTCTCTCTCTCTCTCTCGCTCTCTAATTAGCAATGTCACAAATGTAAAGAAAAATCATATACTAGATTTTATAACCTAACTAAGCTAAAAGCCTAACTATTGATTTATGTTTAGTATAAGTTAGCTTTATATTGAAGATTCGGACGATGCACGTCAATACCTCTTCAACAGAACATGCCAGAATGATATAAGTGACATATTCTAAATCAGCTCACGATAACGAACAGTCTCTGTTCCGTTTTCAAAAAGTGACTTTATAGTCATTTCAATGGCAGACTCTCGGTGTACTTGACGTTTAGGGACCTTCTTAAAAGTGCAACTGTCAACTGAAAAACTGAAATAGCTTTGCAACCACATGACATAGAACTCTCAAACCAAATGTAATATGTTCAGGGACAATCAACGGCAATTCGTTTATTTTTATTTTTACTTTGGCTATTTTCTATGCATTTAAATTGAATACATAAAAATACTTCCTTCAAACGCCAATAACTTCCACCCAATAATAAGCCCCCCTCCCCGGGGCTTGGCCCACACTCCCTGGGGAAGCCACAGACCTCCCTGGCCCTCTGGAGCTCTCTCATTCAATGAAATGAAGTGTGGATAAAAGGCTGGAGTAACTATGAGTCTCTTAAAGGGATAATCTGTTAAACTTTCAATTCAAACGATGAATTGCTGAATGCGACGCAACATTAAATGACAAACATAAATCAAATCGATTTCCTATTCCAGCAAAGACAATATAGACCAGGAGTTATTGCAACCACTGTGGGAAAGTTAATTGGCTCCAATGATGTATATACACCCTGGATTGCTGATGATATTGCTGAGTGGCGCAGTGGTCTAAGGCACTGCATCGCAGTGCTAACTGTGCGACTAGAGATCCTGGTTCAAATCCAGGCTCTGTCGCCACCGGCCGCGACCGGGAGACTCATGGGCGGCGCACAATTGGTCCAGGGTAGGGGAGGGAATGGCCGGCAGGGATATAGCTCAGTTGATAGAGCATGGCGTTTGCAACGCCAGGGTTGTGGGTTCGATTCCCACGCGGGGCCAGTATAAAAAAATATGTATTCACTAACTGTAAGTCGCTCTGGATAAGAGCGTCTGCTAAATGACTAAAATGTAAATGTAATGATATGTATTGGCCATTGAAAGGCTTGAAGCCACAGGTTGGCTTCATTGGCAGTCCTCCATAGGAATGAATGGAATTCTACAGTATTTCAATTAAATGTTTCAAGGATAAAATTCCATGTATTTACGTTTTTTGTTGTTGTTGTAGTGGGTTAGGTAACATCTTTGCGTGGTGGTCGTCGTCGGGTGAGGTTGTGTCTCTCTGTCGTCGGGTGAGGTTGTCTCTCTCTGTCGTCGGGTGAGGTTGTGTCTCTCTGTCGTCGGGTGAGGTTGTGTCTCTCTCTGTCGTCGGGTGAGGTTGTGTCTCTCTGTCGTCGGGTGAGGTTGTGTCTCTCTGTCGTCGGGTGAGGTTGTGTCTCTCTCTGTCGTCGGGTGAGGTTGTGTCTCTCTGTCGTCGGGTGTGGTTGTGTCTCTCTCTGTCGTCGGGTGAGGTTGTGTCTCTTTCTTGTCGTCGGGGTTTTCTGTCGTCGGGTGAGGTTGTCTCTCTCTGTCGTCGGGTGAGGTTGTCTCTCTCTGTCGTCGGGTGAGGTTGTGTCTCTCTCTGTCGTCGGTGAGGGTTGTGTCTCTCTCTGTCGTCGGGTGAGGTTGTGTCTCTCTCTGTCGTCGGGTGAGGTTGTGTCTCTTTCTGTCGTCGGGTGAGGTTTGTCTCTCTCTGTCGTCGGGTGAGGTTGTGTCTCTCTCTGTCGTCGGGTGAGGTTGTGTCTCTCTCTGTCGTCGGGTGAGGTTGTGTCTCTTTCTGTCGTCGGGTGAGGTTGTCTCTCTCTGTCGTCGGGTGAGGTTGTGTCTCTCTCTGTCGTCAGGTGAGGTTGTGTCTCTCTCTGTCGTCGGGTGAGGTTGTGTCTCTCTGTCGTCAGGGTGAGGTTGTGGTCTCTCTCTGTCGTCGGGTGAGGTTGTGTCTCTCTCTGTCGTCAGAGTAGGTTGTGTCTCTCTCTGTCGTCGGGTGAGGGTTGTGTCTCTCTCTGTCGTCGGGTGAGGTTGTTGTCTCTTTCTGTCGTCGGGTGAGGTTGTCTCTCTCTGTCGTCGGGTGAGGTTGTGTCTCTTTCTGTCGTCGGGTGAGGTTGTGTCGCTCTCTGTCGTCGGGTGAGGTTGTGTCTCTCTCTGGCGGGAGGTAAGCTTGGCTTATATGGCTTATATACATAGTTTGGGCTTTGTTGAGTAAAGCTTAAACTATGTATTTAGATTGTAGTTGGGTATTGTAGGTAGTTGTCGTGGGTTGTTGTATGTAATTATTGTAGGTTAGTATTGTATTCGGCTGAGCCCGGTGAAGCACGAAGCTAGCTAACCCACTACCTGGACTAGCTGGCGGGTAGCTACTGGTAACTATTAGCAACTGTGGATAGTTGTTTCACGCCTGAGAGTACCTGTAATTATGCCAGCTAGCTGCCTACAATAATTACAAACAATAATGCCTACCATTCAGCTGTTTTTCTAACCTCATTGTCTGAAGCGTTAACGTTAGGTAGTAAGTGGCTACTGTGCTTGAAATTTAGCTAGCTTGTTGCTACCTGGATAGCTACTAGTAAACAATAGCTGGAACGACCTAGCGAACAGACGCGAACTGGCTGAGTCAATTCAGTGGCTAGCTTTGCACTTGGCTAGCTAACAGTAGCTGCTAGGGGTAAGTCATAACCTACATTTGTGTTTTGTTTTTACATACTGGTAACCAGAGTCGTTCAAGGGAATTCGGGACATGGGTGACTAGTTAACGTTAGCATGGCTCTCTCTGTGTGTTCGTGCCGTGGGAGGACGGGTTTCTTCTTTGTATGAAAGCAATGGCTAGCTAGTATGCTAACTATTCTAGCTAACTAACTGGCTGAATAAGTTGACGACGGACTCGCTCAAGCTGTCGGGACTAACCCACAACGTTAGACACGGACACGAATGATCTGCTTGGCGTGTTGACACACTGGTGGTTAGTTGTGGCCGAGTATTGGTGCTAAACCGTGTTGTTGGAGTCCGGCATGCTAGTTGGCTGTGGCGTCATATGACTAGGTGCCCTGGACGATTTTCACGGAAGAATACTGTACCAAGTTAGCTAGCTGAATAAACTAACTTAGTCTATTCATAGAAAACATTGAACCGCTGTAGTTTACAACAATTATAGTTTCTGAGGTGGAAGTTGGGAGAGTTATATTTGGGTGTTTCAGTGAAACGTAAGTGAGGGAGGCCCCGCTCTCTCCTTTCCCAGATGTTTAGTTCATTTTCATTCCGATCTCCTTTGCATTATTGTAGCCATTATCTGTAGCCTGTCAACTATGTGTCTGTCTATCCCTGTTCTCTCCTCTCTGCACAGGCCATACAAACGCTTCACACCACGTGGCTGCTGCCTCTCTAACCTGGTGGTCCCTGCACGCACCACCCACGTGGAGTTCCAGGTCTCAGGCAGCCTCTGGAACTGCCGTTCTGCTGCCAACAAGGCAGAGTTCATCTCAGCCTATGCTACCCTCCAGTCCCTCGCACGGAAACATGGATTACCACTGAAAACACTGCTACTCCTACTGCTCTCTCCTCGTCTGACCATGTGTTCTCGCATACCCCGAGAGCATCTGGTCAGCGGGGTGGTGGCACAGGAATCCTCATCTCTCCCAAGTGGACATTCTCTCTTTTTCCCCTGACCCATCTGTCTATCTCCTCATTTGAATTCCATGCTGTCACAGTCACTAGCCCATTCAAGCTTAACATCCTTTTCATTTATCGCCCTCCAGGATCCCTTGGAGAGTTCATCAATGAGCTTGACGCCTTGATAAATTCCTTTCCTGAGGATGGCTCACCCCTCACAGTTCTGGGTGACTTCAACCTCCCTACGTCTACCTTCGACTCATTTCTCTCTGCCTCCTTCTTTCCACTCCTCTCCTCTTTTGAACTCACCCTCTCACCGTCACCCCCCTACTCACAAGGCAGGCAATACGCTTGACCTCATCTTTACTAGATGCTGTTCTTCTACTAATCTCACTGCAACTCCCCTCCATGTCTCCTACCACTACTTTGTATCCTTTTCTCTCTCGCTCTCCTCCAACACTACTCACTCTGCCCCTACTCAGATGGTAATGCGCCGTCGCAACCTTCGCTGTCTCTCTCCCGCTACTCTCTCCTCTTCCATCCAGGTGTCAAGCGTTTCACAGGGGATGCTGGCCCATGTCCAACGCTTCCCACAGTTATGTCAAGTTGGCTGGATGTCCTTTGGGTGGTGGACCGTTCTTGATGCACACGGGAAACTGTTGAGCGTGGAAAAACCCAGCAGCGTTGCAGTTCTTGACACAAACCGGTGCGCCTGGCACCTACTACCATACCCCGTTCAAAGGCACTTAAGCCTTTAATCTTACCCATTCACCCTCTGAATGGCACACATACACAGTCCATGTTTCAATTGTCTCTAGGCTTAAAAATCCTTCTTTAACCTGTCTCCTCCCCTTCATCTACACTGATTGAAGGTGACATCAATAAGGGATCATAGCTTTCAACTGGATTAATCTGGTCAGTCCGTAATGGAAAGAGCAGGTGTTCTTAATGTTTTGCATACTCAGTGTATATACACATAAGTTGAACTGGTGTTTGCTGCTGTGGGAACGTGTGGGGTAACTTAAACATTTACTTGAGATTGTGAGAAAAAAATACTTTTGTGCTTCCTTCCTGTCTAGCCTGTTAACCAATGAATTTCGTTGCACTGTATTAGTAGTTCAGTGTCCATTCCAACACACTTCAGCTGAGCCACTCCCAGCGGTTCCAATATTCCTCTTCTTACTAGACTCAATGTTTTGTCGAACTGTAAAGAAGAACGATATTTTAGAAGTCTACTTATTTGTTGAATTGCTCTTAAAGGGGTTAGAAATTATTTAATTAAAGGTAGTTTGCGAGTGGTAACATTTGATGTTAGGATTACAGTGTGAGGCGAAGTACATTAGGGGTGTGTCTATATAATACATATATAAAATATATTATATTCAGAAGAATATTTTATCTTTAATATGCAAGGGTTGATTTGAATCTATGACGATAATATGGATGGGATTTCTGTGTCGGGCTGGTATTCAATCAAACACACAGTACAGGAAAATCTGCACTGTGGAAAAACAACATCACTACTGCACAAAAACTTGAAAAACACCACATTTTAAGTCATGTGATTCATAGACAATGTTTACTGGGTGAAGAAAGATTCAGAAAATAAAACTTTGATTTGAAAGATTTTATGAAAGAGTGCTGTTTTTTTTTTTTAGTATTGGAAGATTTTTTCCTGATTTTTCCGTCTTGTCTTTGATTGAATGGAACCCATCTGTTCTGATTAACAGAGAGAGAGAGAGAGATCCATCCTGAAACGTTTACCAAAGCACCATCCGAATATTAGAAACACTGACCGACACCCTTCACGAATGACACAGTATCAACTCCTAGCCTGGCTAAACCAGACTTGAAAGCTGGTGAACGCAGCGTTCCAATCTGGGTTCACCAGGCTAAGCAACTCCATGGCCCAGTCCCAAACAGACAGAACCCTCCTTATGCTTACATTTACATTTTACATTTTAGTCATTTAGCAGACGCTCTTAACCAGAGCGACTTACAGGAGCAATTAGGGTTAAGTGCCTTGCTCAAGGGCACATTAACGTCATTTAGCAGACGCTCTTAGCCAGAGCGACTCACAAATTGGTGCGTTCACCCTATAGCCAGTGGGATAACCACTTTACAATTTGGGGGGGGGGGGGGGGGGGGGGGGTTAGAAGGAATACTTTAGCCTATCCCAGGTATTCCTTAAAGAGGTGGGGTTTCAAATGTCTCCGGAAGGTGGTGAGTGACTCCGCTGTCCTGGCGTCGTGAGGGAGCTTGTTCCACCATTGGGGTGCCAGAGCAGCGAACAGTTTTGACTGGGCTGAGGGGGAGCTGTGCTTCCGCAGAGGAAGGGGAGCCAGCAGGCCAGAGGTGGATGAACGCAATGTCCTCGTTTGGGTGTAGGGACTGATCAGAGCCTGAAGGTACAGGGGTGCCGTTCCCCTCACTGCTCCAAAGGCAAGCACCATGGTCTTGTAGCGGATGCGAGCTTCAATTGGAAGCCAGTGGAGTGTGCGGAGGAGGGGGGTGACGTGAGAGAACTTGGGAAGGTTGAACACCAGACGGGCTGCGGCATTCTGGATGAGTTGTAGGGGTTTAATGGCACAGGCAGGGAGCCCAGCCAACAGCGAGTTGCAGTAGTCCAGACGGGAGATGACAAGTGCCTGGACCAGGACCTGCGCCGCTTCCTGTGTAAGGCAGGGTCGCACTCTCCGAATGTTGTAGAGCATGAACCTGCAGGAGCGGGTCACCGCCTTGATGTTGGCGGAGAACGACAGGGTGTTGTCCAGGGTCACGCCTAGGCTCTTCGCACTCTGGGAGGAGGACACAGCGGAGTTGTCTACCGTGATGGCGAGATCATGGAACGGGCAGTCCTTCCCGGGGAGGAAGAGCAGCTCCGTCTTGCCAGGGTTCAGCTTGAGGTGGTGATCCGTCATCCATACTGATATGTCTGCCAGACATGCAGAGATGCGATTCGCCACCTGGTGATCAGAAGGGGGAAAGGAGAAGATTAGTTGTGTATCGTCAGCGTAGCAATGATAGGAAAGGCCATGTGAGGATATGACAGAGCCAAGTGACTTGGTGTATAGGGAGAAAAGGAGAGGGCCCAAAACCGATCCCTGGGGGACACCAGTGGTGCTCTCCCTTGGGCCTTGTTCAACCCCTCTAGCTGATCTGAAAGGACCTAGTGTGGGCAAGAGAGGGGTTTTGTTTCGTTTGGGATGTGCCATAGCCTGGTTCCAGATGTGTTTTTGTACTGCCTTTGCCATTTTTAATATGATCATTATCACAAGACCATTACAATGTTCATAGGAGTTGGGGGAACTCCCTTTTTATTGACTGTGTGCGCGACCTGTGTGCAGTAATGCCTGTGTCCCGTTGTCCTGTTCTCAGTACGTACTATTGTTGGGGTATGTCCTGCTGGCAAACCAAAAAAGGAAATTAGCCTGGTTCCTGATCTCATTGTGCTGTCCCTAGTGCAAACTCTTGATGGCATGTCATTGTAATGCTGCTGTAGGAGTCAACAGGACACCACAAACCGATCTGGGACCAGGCTGGAAGGAAATGGAAAGTCTGCTGTGTTGATTTTGATTTTCTAGGGTTTTTTACAAATTTAAAATTGATTTCCTCAAGAATTACATTTTATTTTGTGCTTCCTGGCGTCTTCTCCATATTGAAATAATTACTGTGGGGAGTTCTGTGGACTTTGGGACCAATTCTCTACTGTATAATTGTAGCTTCTAAAGCCTTCCCCGTGGCGTAACGGCTTCTCTATTGGTTCCTCCTTGGGATAGGTTTACAGATGTCTCTTTATGGAAAATTAACTAAAATTAACTTTAAAATTAAAACACAAGATTTGTCAGACTCTCTTAGAAATAAAAGGGTTCTTTGTTTGTCCCCGTAGGAGAACCTGTTTTTTGTTTGTTACAGGTAGAAGAACCATTTGGTGGTGAAAAAGGTGCTACGTAGAACCTTGCATTAGTGAAAGGAAAAAAACAGTTATTTCCAGATGGTTGTCCTATGGGGGACAATTGAATAACCCTTTCTTTCTAGGTAGCGCCTTCTTTTCTAAGAGTGTACTGCGTTCAAAACAACCCAGTGTGACCAAAAGTAGAGCTGTCGAAAGCAAAAGATGTGGTCGAGCTTACGAGACTTTCTAAGCTATGATACGGTTGTACTAGTTCAAATGAGGTCTAAGTTATTGCGTGGTTTAAGTGATACTATTGTGATGATCTGTTATGATACTATATAAGCCTAATACTGTTAGCATCACGGTAGTATTGCAACGAACGCGACCTTAAGTGTCAGATATAAACCAATTGTCAGGTAATTATGAATTTGAAGAATAAATAAACCCTTGCTCACCAGAATAATGTAATAGAATGAATGCTTCAATATAGTAGACATTGGTAACGTTTTCTGTCATCTCTGCTTCTTTCGTGGCGCAAAGACAAAAAAAAAGGGAGATATTCTGTTCAAAATGTCCAAATGACAGCAGTTTGACCGGTTGTAAGTAAATATAAATCTGTGAAAATGTGCAAAAGTTGAGGGGTCTCATGTCTTTTACATTTATAATTTATTTGTTTTTTTGATTGCTTATGCATAATTATTTTATTTTTTTATATAGATTTTTTGTAAAATATCTTTAACAACAACAAACACAAATACAAAACACATAAAACCATAAGGAGATGTTTTCCTGATAAATGATCTGCTATTTACATGGACACGATATTCTGTTATGTGCCCTTAAGGAAACACAAGAATTGTTCCCATATCTTTTTGGAATCTTTCTCCTGCCTCTTTGCTAAGATGATTTCATACTATGTTTTTAATTAACATATTCATCCGTAATGTTTTTATTAACATATTCATCCGTAATGTTTTAATTAACATATTCATCCACTACGTGAACACTGGCTCATTAGAGCTTTTCCATTGTTTCAAGACCAGCCTTAACACAAACACAATACTTAAACATTATATTTCAATTCTGTCTGGTTAATTCCTCTTATATCAGGCTTGTCACTCAACAGACACGGTATTGGTGACCTGGGTACCTTGGATCAAACTCCGTCTCCCATGCACTGTAAGGCTTTGTCCCATAGGGGGTGCACAACCGAGCTTTCCCACGGTGCATGTAGGAGGGTTCCTTTTGCCCCCCTTCACATTGACAACACACGTCAATCCTGTGACAAACCCATCCTATGTAACCTTAGGTGAGTAAAATAAAATCTATGAAAAACTTTAAATTGTATACCTTTTCTCTTGGCTTCTGACAACCATGTCTTATCTCGCATTGTAAATCCCTTTCCCACAATTCTCAACTTAACAGTTGTCATTATTAACCTTTTTAACAGCATTTTGTAACATAAAGAAGCTGATTGTACCAAATTTGTAGTGAAAAAAAAAGCTTCTACAACATTGTTACTGTTACATTTACATCATTTAGCAGACGCTCTTGCCTTTTTGACATAACGGCACCACCTAGTGTTGACACACAGCTTTTTCATTAGCATATCTCCATATACCTTATTATCACACCGCTTTTAATTAGCATATATAATAATAATAATAATATGCCATTTAGCAGACGCTTTTATCCAAAGCGACTTACAGTCATGTGCGCATACATTTTTACGTATGGGTGGTCCCGGGGATCGAACCCACTACCCTGGGCGTTACAAGCGCCGTGCTCTACCAGCTGAGGACCACATGTCTCCATCACACCGTTTATACTTATTCCGCATTTCTTCAAGTGACAAAAATACCTAATTATTGTGCAGGTCACCCAGAGTATGAACCCCTTCTCATACTCATTTTGACCAATAGCAGGATTCTACCGTTCAGAAGCATATCTTTGTTTATGCAGAGACTCTTTGACCCTTGCATTTCTGTATCATTGGCTCTTTTTTAGGGGATATAATATATAACGACAGGTAGCTTAGTGGTTAAGAGCGTTGTGCCAGTAACCGAAAGGTCGCTGGTTCTGAGCCGACGAGGTGGAAAAAAATCTGTCGATGTGCCCTTGAGCAAGGCACTTAACCCTAATTGCTCCTGTAAGTCGCTCTGGATAAGAGCGTCTGCTAAATGACTAAAATGTAAATGTAACGTCCAAAAGGAGCTGTCAAACCACTTTGTTTGTTCACCCGCACGCAACTGCCAGACTATGTGATAACCCGCTAATATAGACCATGCGCTGTAGGCTAGTCGGAGACGGAGGAATGTTTTATTTTATTTTTTACAGATGATGCAGGATTTTCTTTGCTTAGTTTCTGCTTTAGGCCTAATTTCCGGATATTAGTTAGTCAACTTGTCTATAATTAGATAAATGCAGCTTCTCTTCTGTCATTATATGTTGCCCTGGAAGAATAAATAAACCCTTACTCACCAGAATAATGTCATAGAATGAATGCTTCAATATAGCAGACATTGGTAACGTTTTATGTCATCTCTGCTTCTTTCGTGGAGCAAAAAGACAAAAAAAAAGGGAGATATTCTGTTCAAAATGTCCAAATGACATCCGTTTGACCGGTTGTAAGTAAATATAAATAATACATCTGTGAAAAACGACCCAACAAGTTTCTGATAAGATTTCAGTTAGTACACATAAAATATGCATCCAAGCCTATCAGCTTTTATGACCCTGATAAAGAGGCCACCTGTACAGAGGCTTTCTAACTGTGGATTCGCATTCTCTCAAGTTGCTGAAAGAAAGGAATCCTATTTCTCCACTCCTGTTCCTGAGGCAAAATGTATAATCAAAAAATATAATCGCAACATGCAACAAATTCAACAATTTTCCTGAGTTAAAGTTCATATAAGGAAATCAGTCAATTGAAATAAATTCATGAGCCCCTAATCTATGGATTTGACATGACTGGGCAGGTGCATGGTGGTAAATAAATCCTAGATATTTGTTTTTATCTTTACAATAATATAGATCTGAAGATATCTTCTCACCACATTATGCTTCACCCCTGTTTGCTGACAATGACACGAAAAACGATGTGCAGGCTTCAATGTGGCAGAAGTCCATGTGTTTTCGTGATTCTGCACATCAGATAGCTAGCAGCAATGACCAGAAGCTGCCATGTGGGGAATTGTTTCAGTTAGTTTTATCTTGTTCTTGATACCGTGTCTCATTTTGAGGTGTTGACTGATTTCACGTCTATGCTAATATTGCTAAAATTAGCTGGCTAACCAACAACTGTAAGGATGTGTTTGAGTGCTCATTGAGCACATTTATTTAATAAACATATAGAGACTAAATATAGTTGACATGTTGTCAACAATCTAAGCCAACCATGTCCGTTTTGTTGCTAAACAACCAAGCAGGAAGCAGAAAAAACCCCACAGGGTTACTTTGGTTTGGTGTAGAGCTCAGGGATGTAGAAATGTAACCTCTCAAATTCATAGGAGCTAATGGATGCAAGGACTGACCGTCCATCTTTACAAACGTTGGTGAAAAATATGGGTTGTTTATGAATTCGAAGGACCAATAAAAAAGGATACAAAACGTAGGCGGTGGATTTTAGGCCGGCAGCAAACACCACAGGGTGTCCGGTCAGAACAGGAGGAAGCAGTCGTTCCAGTCCAAGGTTTAATGAAGATCCACTCATACAACACCACTCTCTCTGATACTAATTATGGTTATTTAGCTGCACGCACAATAAACATCAGAAAGAAAAGCAATTTCTTCTAAAGGAGGTTGAATAAGCAGGAGAGAAAAACAGGTTGGTCATCAGAACGGAAACTACAGACTGCCTGAGGCCCTGCCTGGTCGGGTATTACGCTAAATCTTGGGGGGGGGGGGGGGGGGGGGGGGGGGGGGCTGCTGGTTGGCTAATCCAATTATGATGATTGGTGTGACCTTATTCCAATAGGAAAACCAAAAGAAAGTTGGGGTCTTGGAAAGGAGATGAGCTGGCCGTTTTTTTTTTTTTTTACAAGTGGAGTAAAACTATCTTATTTTGGGGGTTCTGATGGTGTATGATAGTTAAACTAAGCTTGTGGGGCCCGATACAGGAAATGTACCCTTACGAAAAAAAGATTGCAGTCAAGAGTGCAGTATAACTGCACTATGCGGCAAATACTGCGTCCAAAATACTTGTTTTTTTTTACTGCAGTAATTTTGCAGTTAAGAGTGCAGTATAACTGCTGTACACTGCAGTTATTCTGCAATTACTGCGTCCAAAATACCACAGTTGACTGCAGTTACTGCACTTTTATTGCAGTTTCAAAACTGCAATCTTTTTTTGCAAGGGACATCTTTCCTACGCACTTCTCAGTAGTTGGTATTCAGACTTACCTAATGCAGGCGTGGTTCCCTTGCGCACGCTGAATACATTGAATTCAACCACTGAAAACCCTCCCACTTGCTGGCCAACATGTTTTCTCGTGGACTTTTATATTCAATAGGGTTTTCAGTAAATGTATCTAAAGCCATCCCTTTAAATATGGTGTACCTTTTAATTAGAAAATTCTCGACAGACTCAGTAGAATGTATGGAGAGACGGTTCAGAATATTAGGGATCAATGAAAGAAAGCCATGTAAATACACACATATTCATCTCCTTTTCAGCACCAATTGGCAGATTTAAAAATACTCAGATCTTGAATATTATTTAGGGTTAGGAAAGTATTTATGAATAATACAAAAACAGGTTTGGACTGCCTTTTTTTGCATGAAATATATTGGTGAATCCAAAATACAGTGGATTGATTCATCCTGAAAGTTGCCATATTCAATTTTTCAATCCATGAAATAGGAAGGTGAGTAAAGTGTACAATAGGGGTTGAACAGTAGTCCTATAAATCTACCCTAATAATCCTCACTAATAATAATATGCCATTTAGCAGACGCTTTTATCCAAAGCGACTTACAGTCATGCGTGCATTCATTTGTTGTGTATGGGTGGTCCCGGGGATTGAACCCACTACCTTGGCGTTACAAGCGCCATGCTCTACCAGCTGAGCTACAGAGGACCACACTAATCATGGAACTGTGATGACAACGGTCCAGTCGTGAACCAGGCTCCAGGTTTAAACTGCTACGTATGGTCTGCGAGCCATAATCATTCGAATAGGCTACATGTCCCAAATTATTGCACAACTTGTAACACGTTAGCCTAACGTCAGGGACGGCTTGTTCAATAGGGCGATATGGGCGACGCACTGCCAAACGGGAAAAGGAAGGGATTTTTTTTCTAATCAATTATATCACGGCAACAGCAGTTATCAGTGTTCACGTCTGATCTGCCAGCCACTAAATGTCAAATCAGGCTAAAGTCGTGCTTCAAATGGCCCCGCCCGTTTTTTGGGCGATTTCAGTCAGGTTGAAAATCGCCCAGAAGTCTCTCATAGCCTGTCATGTAAAATCAATTTTTTTCACATTTCAAAGCTTTCAATACATTCTCTATGGGTGTCTGTGGGCATGCACTTACGCGCTTTCGTCATACGTGACGTAACGTTGAACGTAACTAAGACAATGGCGGCTAGCAGCGTCTATGTTGCGACCTGCAGTGTGGCGTTATTTTATGTTTTTAATTTGTAGACTTAGTTTACAAACATTCTGCAAAAATTCTGCTTTGGACTGATCTTCGGTTTTGGACTGATCTTGTTGATCGTGTACATACCCGCTACGAACGGACTAAATAATGAAAACGCTGCTGGCAGCGGAATCCCAATACAGCTGGGAGACTTGGCTGGATGACAGAGTCCCGGACAGAGAGGTGGAGCCGGCCGGCTTCACCCTGGTCAGAGCGGACCGCGATCCTGGTAAGAGAGCGACTCTGTACCCCGACATTGAACTGCTTTCTGTGTCATTGAACCTTACTATTGTTGATAAAACAAGTTTACTGGAGAACGGAGACCAAGTAGAGACTTTTGGACAAGGTGGATAATTGTATAATATAAGGCAGTTTATTCAGAGGTAAAGATATCTGGAATCGCGTGCACGGACCCGTTCGTCAAACTCGTAGGGAGTTTATCAGAAGAGCCCCTAAACATTGTGTGCTGACATTTTATACAATAAAATGAAGTAGGTTGAATCTAGTAGTTCTGATCTTCTGATTGGTCCTGATGAGTTGGGCGAGGTCACCTCCAGGCTAGTGTCACTGTTGCATTGGCTCTGAGTCGGGTTCTCTGTCTTCAGATGTTCAGCCTAAGAGAAGAGGATTTGTGTGTGTGTGTGTGTGTTTGTTATCAGTGTGTGTGTGTGTGTGTGTGTGTGTGTTTGTTATCAGTGATGATGTGTGTGTGTGTGTGTGTGTGTGTGTTTATCAGTGATGATGTGTGTGTGTGTGTGTGTGTGTGTGTGTGTGTGTGTGTGTGTGTGTGTGGGTGTGTGTGTGTGTGTGTGTGTCCTCAGGGCAAGAACTCGTGAGTTGGAAGAACTGAGAGACCTATGGCGTGGGTGTTATCCTTAGCCACCTGCTGACAAGGCTGACAAGATAGGACTCTTGTTCATTGTATTGAATACAAAGGCCCAACACAAAATGGGTCATGCACAAGATTTTAGTCAGACCAAGCTATAACATTATATATTTACTACGACAGTACATTCAACCAAAAGCTAATATAACAAAGGCATCAGAGATTATTTATAATCTGTCACAGAAACTGGAATCCATCTCCCCAGATCAGTCAATAAATGCTTCTGGTATTGACTTATATGCTGCCCCTGTCTTCATGTTGTTGCTGGACATATCTTTTTTTAAATGTGTGTAGGTCACCTAAATCATCAGAAAAATTGCCCCTCCTGAGAATTTTTTCAGGAGCCGCCACTGCCTAACGTGATCCACTATTGCTAGCGATCCTCAGGAGCAACCACACCAACGTGACCGAGGAAAGAAAGGTAAACTAACGATGTAATGGAATGATGCAAAATGCAAAGAAACTGAAGTCAGTGACCAATAGTGGCTCATATTTAACAAGATATAAATTGTAAAAAAAAAAAGACAGTGAAAAGTCCAGGCATATAATTAAAACATTCTAGAAATCATAAATCAACTCTGTGCAATAGGAGTTGACCCAACGCATTATTGTAAGTACATTTAATATAAGTTGACCCAACGCATTATTGTAAGTACATGAATACACTATATATACAAAAGTATGTGGACACCGCTTCAAATGAGTGGATTTCTGCCACAGGCGTTGCTGACAGGTGCAGTGGCGACCCGTCATTTTTTATTTATTTATTTATTTCACCTTTATTTAACCAGGTAAGCCAGTTGAGAACAGGTTCTCATTTACAACTGCGACCTGGCCAAGATAAAGCAAAGTAGTGCAATAAAAACAACACAGAGTTACATATGGGGTAAAAAAAAACATAAAGTCAGAAATACAACAGAAAATGTATATACAGTGTGTGCATTCAGTGCAGCTGGAGCAGATCCCCACCTGTTTAGCTCAACAACAACAAAATATTGATTTTAAAAAATGGTGTGCCTGTTTTGCATGTTATTTTGGCATTAATACGTGTCACATATCAGTTTGCAAACAATGTAACAATTTTTTTAAATAATTGAGTTAATAAAGCCGCGTACAAACATGGTCTCTTTGTTGCTTTCTTCAGTAAAGCAGCTCCAGAATGCAGGTGTTTCAGCCAGCTCAGTGCTTTCTGTGGTGGTGGTGGGGCAGCCAGTGGAAAATACGGAGCGAATGGATTGGTAATGTTCTCTAGTTGCGCCGTGATTGGCTCAGTGTTCTGTCACTCATGGGGACACTACGTCACAGCAAAATCTACGGGGAGAGCTCGAAAAATTCAAGCCCCTTGGGTGCTGCCATAGATTTACATTAGAAGTGCCCATCCAAGAAGGCTCAAGGTCATTGGCCACAGATAAAATGACGTCAAATCACGTTATATCTACCGTAGCTTTGATTGGACGGATCATGTCAACATCATACTTTCAAAATCTTAGCTAGCAAGCTAGACAAGCAGTCATCATGAATCAAGTCGACAATCTACTGGCAAATCCTTTTCAATCCTTGTCATATGAAGAGAAATTATAGATAAAACGTATCGGTGCTCATCGGCCTTTGGACATAAACATTACACTACAAGTTGGAAATCGCAAATTCAACAATGAGTGGTTTGGAAGGAATCAGTGGCTAACTGCAAGCGTTGCAAAGCAATCACTAGCCTGCTATTCAGTGGAGTGGATGTGAGGACCAAGTCTGGGTTTAAGGGCCACTTTTCCAAGCTTAAAAGGATCAACATTCACATGCAACACACCACGGGCCAGAAAAGGTTGAATACATTGGCCATGCTGTCAATCCAGCATGATTTATTGCGCATTCAAGACAACTGGGAACTCTGAATAAAATGAGCTCCGACTGGGGAAAATACGTTTTGAACGGTCATCCAAGTCGAAATTTCAAGTCTGGAACTCGAGCCTCTTTCTAGAGCTCCGACCTGAAGATCGCTGACGTCATGATTCAACCTTGTTTTTTTTCAGAGTTCACAGTTGTCTTGAAAGCACCATAAATCCAGAGAATGCCGGACTTTGACAAAATGTTCCTACAAAAAGGACCGCCGCGCTACCTTCCTGTTCAAGTGAGCACAGCACAACAAGGTGAGTCCAAAAATGTATTCAATGCTGCTGCATAAATGATGTAATATGCCAGGGAGATATGTATACTGTAGCTAAGAAAGTAATACTAAGCCTGTTTTAGAGAAATGTAATGATCGAATATTGTAAGAGCTTTCATTGTCTGCTTATATGCCCCCTTTATTTATCCCAGGGTTCTGACTTGGTGTACAGGGAGAATACTGTAAGAACGGCCCATGTTCTAAATTATGTCGCTGTACATTTCAAAAGTGCTGAACAAATAGTTATATTGACTACGTTCCACCCTAGCTCGCTCATTAATGTCTTCATCTAAATTACGGATTGCCTCTTTTCCGCTCGTCGTCCCCTTATGCCATAGTTTGTACATCTCAATTGTCATTAGAAACCACATTTGTTTAAGCAAGTCAGCCATATCAGCTATGTTGTTTTAAAAGGCAGTAAATTAGGTTTAATTAACTGTTTCGTTGCCTGACAAGGCTCCGCTGAAAGCCAGGTGTAGCGGTGGTAAGGATTCACTCCATGGTGCTGCAAAGAAAGCTCTGCATTTGGGACAGCTTTATGTAGGCCCTAACAGTTTGTGGGCACCGTTTGTCACCGTTATAGTGCAATCAATGTATTGTTTAGTGTTGTGTTGTGGCTTTGCTGGCATGCATCTGGAAGAAATAAAAAATGCCGGAGTTTCCCCCACCAACATTGACATGCTAAAATCACCACTGGGTGGGTCAAGCATAACATTACAACCCTGTTACCCATAGATAGAAGGTCTAGAATGATTTCAACTATTTACATTTGTTTGGCAAACTTGCATTCCATTCCCACTGTCACACAGGGATTTCTGGTCGATTCAAAATGAAATAGTCAACCCTGTTACAGTCAACCCTGTTACTTTATTTGGCACTTAATAGGCAATTACTATAGTATGTACACCTCTGGCCGGTGTTCGGACGGACGGTTCCTCCCGCCCCATGTGGAATCGCCTCTATCGGTGGAGCCCCTTTCGGCTGGGACAAGATCCTCCTTGTCATCTTCATTCTTCTTCTCCTCTTCAGGGTTCTCCTCCTCCTCTTCAGGGTTCTCCTCCTCCTCTTCAGGGTTCTCTAACTCACCCCTCTTGTACTTCTCAAGGATCTTCCTTATTTCCTCTTCCTCCCTTTTGTTAGCCTCTATCATCTTCTCCCTCTCTCTGATTAAAGCTAAATGGCCTTGAATGGCTCTCTTTCTCTCCTCCTCTCTCTCCTCCTCTCTCTCCTCCTTCTCTCTCTGATATGTTCTCTCTATCTTTCTGAGGTTCCTCTTCTCCCACTTCTTATTCAACCAGTCCACAGCTCTCCTTCGGATACTTTTATTGGCTGGGACAAGATCCTCCTTGTCATCTTCATTCTCCTCCTCCTCTTCAGGGTTCTTCTCCTCCTCTCTCTCCTCCTCTCTCTCCTCCTCTCTCTCCTCCTCTCTCTGACTCTCCTCCTCTCTTAGTCTGAAACTTTCTTTCTGTCTAGCAATTTCAATCTCTCGTTTTTTATCCTGCTCCTCTTGTCGTCTTGCCCTCTCCTGTTTTCTTTCCATCTCCAGCAGTCTTTCCTCCTTCTCCCTCCTGATTTGTTGTCCTCTTTCTATTTGTTCTCGTTCCCCCTTCAACACTTCTAACCTCCTCTGTTTACGCCTGTTGAAGATTTCCCGTGCTTTTTCTTTAACATTAACTACTACATACTTCTTCATGCTTACTTCCTTTCTTCTCTCTTCTTCTCTTTCTCTTTCCTCCTCCTCTGCTTCCTTAATCACTTTCTGCTTTTCTTCCCTCTCTCTCTCCAGTTCATTCTGTCCCTCAATATTTTCTTCCTCCATCTCTTTGTGTTGCTGATCTTTTAATTCCATCTCTCTCTGATTCTGAGTCTCTTTCTCCATTTGTTTCTGTCTCTCCTCTTGTTGTTGTCGTCTGTCTATCTCTCTTCTCTCTCTCTGTCTCTTGTTCTCCCTCTCCATTTCTTCCTCTTCCATCTCTATTGGCTGTTTACATCTTTCTTCTTCATGCTTTCTTTCAATCTCTCTTTGTCTCTCTCCTTCTTCTTCTATTTTTTTCTGTCTCTTCTCCATACTCTTCCTTTCTATCTCCTTGCATCTTTTGTTCTCCCTCTCCCTTTCTTCCTCTTCCATCTCTATTTGCTGTTTAAATCTTTCTTCTTCATGCTTTCTTTCAATCTCTCTCTGTCTCTCTTCTTCTTCTATTTTTTTCTGTCTCTTCTCCATTCTCTTTCTTTCAATCTCTCTCTGTCTCTCTTCTTCTTCTTCTATTTTTTTCTGTCTCTTCTCCATACTCTTCCTTTCTATCTCCTTGCATCTTTTGTTCTCCCTCTCCCTTTCTTCCTCTTCCATCTCTATTTGCTGTTTAAATCTTTCTTCTTCATGCTTTCTTTCAATCTCTCTCTGTCTCTCTTCTTCTTCTATTTTTTTCTGTCTCTTCTCCATTCTCTTTCTTTCAATCTCTCTCTGTCTCTCTTCTTCTTCTTCTATTTTTTTCTGTCTCTTCTCCATACTCTTCCCTTCTATCTCCTTGCATCTTTTGTTCTCCCTTTCTTCCTCTTCCATCTCTATTTGCTGTTTAAATCTTTCTTCTTCATGCTTTCTTTCAATCTCTCTCTGTCTCTCTTCTTCTTCTATTTTTTTTCTGTCTCTTCTCCATTCTCTTTCTTTCAATCTCTCTCTGTCTCTCTTCTTCTTCTTCTATTTTTTTCTGTCTCTTCTCCATACTCTTCCTTTCTATCTCCTTGCATCTTTTGTTCTCCCTCTCCCTTTCTTCCTCTTCCATCTCTATTTGCTGTTTAAATCTTTCTTCTTCATGCTTTCTTTCAATCTCTCTTTGTCTCTCTTCTTCTTTTTCTATTTTTTTCTGTCTCTTCTCCATACTCTTCCTTTCTATCTCCTTGCATCTTTTGTTCTCCCTCTCCCTTTCTTCCTCTTCCATCTCTATTTGCTGTTTAAATCTTTCTTCTTCATGCTTTCTTTCAATCTCTCTCTGTCTCTCTTCTTCTTCTATTTTTTTCTGTCTCTTCTCCATTCTCTTTCTTTCAATCTCTCTCTGTCTCTCTTCTTCTTCTTCTATTTTTTTCTGTCTCTTCTCCATACTCTTCCTTTCTATCTCCTTGCATCTTTTGTTCTCCCTCTCCCTTTCTTCCTCTTCCATCTCTATTGGCTGTTTACATCTTTCTTCTTCATGCTTTCTTTCAATCTCTCTTTGTCTCTCTTCTTCTTTTTCTATTTTTTTCTGTCTCTTCTCCATACTCTTCCTTTCTATCTCCTTGCATCTTTTGTTCTCCCTCTCCCTTTCTTCCTCTTCCATCTCTATTTGCTGTTTAAATCTTTCTTCTTCATGCTTTCTTTCAATCTCTCTCTGTCTCTCTTCTTCTTCTATTTTTTTCTGTCTCTTCTCCATTCTCTTTCTTTCAATCTCTCTCTGTCTCTCTTCTTCTTCTTCTATTTTTTTCTGTCTCTTCTCCATACTCTTCCTTTCTATCTCCTTGCATCTTTTGTTCTCCTTCTCCCTTTCTTCCTCTTCCATCTCTATTGGCTGTTTACATCTTTCTTCTTCATGCTTTCTTTCAATCTCTCTTTGTCTCTCTTCTTCTTTTTCTATTTTTTTCTGTCTCTTCTCCATACTCTTCCTTTCTATCTCCTTGCATCTTTTGTTCTCCCTCCCCCTTTCTTCCTCTTCCATCTCTATTTGCTGTTTAAATCTTTCTTCTTCATGCTTTCTTTCAATCTCTCTCTGTCTCTCTTCTTCTTCTATTTTTTTCTGTCTCTTCTCCATTCTCTTTCTTTCAATCTCTCTCTGTCTCTCTTCTTCTTCTATTTTTTTCTGTCTCTTCTCCATACTCTTCCTTTCTATCTCCTTGCATCTTTTGTTCTCCCTCTCTCTTTCTTCCTCTTCCATCTCTATTTGCTGTTTACATCTTTCTTCTTCATGCTTTCTTTCAATCTCTCTCTGTCTCTCTTCTTCTTCTATTTTTTTCTGTCTCTTCTCCATTCTCTTTCTTTCAATCTCTCTCTGTCTCTCTTCTTCTTCTATTTTTTTCTGTCTCTTCTCCATACTCTTCCTTTCTATCTCCTTGCATCTCTTGTTCTCCCTCTCTCTTTCTTCCTCTTCCATCTCTATTTGCTTCTGTTTGTGTCTCTCCTCTTCTTCTCCTCCCTCCATCTCCTTCTTCTTCTCCTCTTCTTGTTGTCCCTGTTTTGGTATTTTCTCTTTTCTCGTTCTTTCTACCTCTTTCTGTGTGTCGTTCTCACCCTCTGTCTTCTCCTCCATGGCCATTTGGTTCTGTTTCCATGTATACTCGTCTGTTTCCATACTTTCTAATTCTGTCATCTGTTCCTTGATATCCTTGAAGATTTCCTCCAGTTCAGACGTCTTGTTGTCATTGATGAGGGCTGTCTCTCTCTCTATCTCTCCCTCCATCTCCATCTCTCTCTCTCCATATCTCTCTCCATCTCTCTCTCCATCTCTCTCTCTGTCTCTATCAAATTTTCTCTCTGGTCCAGTCTCATCTTTCAATCTAATCTCTTCTTTCATTCTCGCAAGCTCTCTGTCTAACACTAGTACATTTTTGTTAACCTGTTTCACTCTTTCATTCTGTCTTCTAAACGCTTCTTTCGCTCTTTGAAATTTTATTTTGTATTGAATCTCTTTTGTTGTCATGTCTTCTTTCAATCTCTCAATCTCTCTCTCTAACTCTTTTACCTTTTTGTTAACCTGTTTGACTTCCTCATTCTCTGCAATACGCATGTCTCTTTTTCTTTCAAATGCTATTTCCTGTTCAATCTCTTTCAATCTCTCAATCTCTCGTTCTAACGCTTTTATTGTTTCCTCTGCCTGTTTCACTTTCTCCTTCATTTCTTGTCTCTCCAATTCTGCTTTTCTCTCCCTTTCCCTCTGTCTTTCACTCTGTCTTTCCGTCTCAATAGGTTTGTTGTTCCAGGCCAGTCTTGGTCGCTGATCCTCCATGACTTTCTGCCATAGCCTCAATATCGCTATCTCTTGCTTCATTTTTAAAAGGTTCAATTAGTGCTCATTTATGACCAAGACATACTTTCAAAGGACTTGCAGTGAATGATACATAGAAATACAACCTAGAGCTAGGTAATTGAATCAAACACTGGACAACATCGATAGCAGGGTCATTTTGACCAATTAATCTGGTCAATTCATTCTCAATGAATGTATTGACATGGTTTGAAAAAATCATGAGACATTTTATGGAATCAATTATGTCCAAAATCTGTACAAATACAAACACACAACTAGTTTTCCCATTCAGTTAGGGGTTTGAGAAATACCCGTTACAATTTGTGTGATGTTACAACAATGTTGCCTTTGATGTTTATGCTTGTAGAAATTACTCCTACAAATGATGTTTCACTGATGTAATTATTTACAACCTGCACACATACAGTTATCATCAACAACAACAACAGTAATGATATTAATAAGGAAGTGGATATTTGACAGGCAGAAGAAAGGCATAGAGGTTGAGATAAATGGAGGTTAGGGTAGGTTCAGGACCTAGGGTTGGGTTAAGGTTAAGGTTAGGGTAATGGTTAGGTTCAGGACCTAGGGTTGGGTTAAGGTTAAGGTTAGGGTTAGGGTAATGGTTAGGTTCAGGACCTAGGGTTGGGTTAAGGTTAAGGTTAGGGTAATGGTTAGGTTCAGGACCTAGGGTTGGGCTAAGGTTAAGGTTAGGGTAATGGTTAGGTTCAGGACCTAGGGTTGGGTTAAGGTTAAGGTTAGGGTAATGGTTAGGTTCAGGACCTAGGGTTGGGTTAAGGTTAGGTATAGTTTCAGTGAGGTTAAGGTAAGGTAAGGGTTAAGGTGAGAGAAAGGCATAAAAGTTAACATTGGGTTAGCATACCGCTATCCACCGCCATTCATTTTCAGCCGGGTAAATATACACTGCCTTTTAATAATAACAATGTCATATCTTACCTGGGCCAGTTGTAGTTGCGTTATCAGCAGATCCACCAGTTGTTTGAGTCTGTTGATCTCCATTTGTCTCTGGCTCTCTGCCTCCCTCTGTCTCTCTGCCTCCCCCTGTCTCTCTGCCTCCCTCTGTCTCTCTGCCTCCCTCTGTCTCTCTGCCTCCCTCTGTCTCTCTGCCTCCCTCTGTCTCTCTGCCTCCCTCTGTCTCTGTCTCTCTGCCTCCCTCTGTCTCTGTCTCTCTGCCTCCCTCTGTCTCTCTGCCTCCCTCTGTCTCTCTGCCTCCCTCTGTCTCTGTCTCTCTGCCTCCCTCTGTCTCTGTCTCTCTGCCTCCCTCTGTCTCTCTGCCTCCCTCTGTCTCTCTGCTTCCCTCGGTCTCTGTATCTCTGCCTCCCTCTGTCTCTGTCTCTCTGCCTCCCTCTGTATCTCTGCCTCCCTCAGTCTCTCTGCCTCCCTCAGTCTCTCTGCCTCCCTCAGTCTCAGGATCTCAGCCTTCCACTCTTTCATTACACCCCTTTCTACTCTTCTTCTGCTCCTTTCATCCTTTAAAAGGGCTCTGAGATTGTCTGTCTCAGACTGTAATTTTTCAACCATCTCGTCACAAATCATCTCGTTTTCTCTACTTTCTCTGTCACAAAAGAACACAAAGTGAATGGAGATCATAGCTCAACATGTTAAAGGAGCAAGCAGTAGTTCAAACCACAAAGCTGCCACACCGTCACCTTTTTGGATAAACAGCTTGGGGATGGGGGCTGGAGTAATTCATAGACGTAGCTATTTGTGCAAGGACTAACCATCCATGAGATCAAAATGATCGTTTTAACCATATTGTTTAAGCTATACAGGGTTTGTTTACAATTACATTGTTTCCAAACATTGGAGTGAAACAAACTCATATTTTGGGTTCTGATGGGGTTAGATAGTTGAACTAAGCTCATGAGACATTTAGGAGAGTCAATGGGTACATATCATTAATTATAAAGTTCAAAATAGATGTAGCAATTGCAGATGGCCTCTTAAAAGACTGAGATTGCCATTCAATCAGTAAGAATATGAACCTTTTTCAATCCAATGTAAAGAGTAGTGTTGCATCAATCTGTTTGACATTGAACTGTGATATCCCATTGGGCACAGATGTCGGTTTAACATCTAGTTTTGATTTAAGTGAAGTAGGCTAGCGGATGGTTAATGTATTGTAAACTTTGCTAAATATTTGACTCACCTCAAATCACTCTTGTCAAATCGCAGTTTTAGTGTGGAACTGAGTAATATCTTTGACAGGAAGAAACTTTACCTGGCCTGGAGCTGTATTGTTGCGTCATTTGAAACACTTGAGCGTCATAATGGTTATCCGCGCCTGCTTGATTGACAGCTAGGGGTTCTCCTGCGCATGTGTCCAAAAGTCGATATTGTTTAGCTACTCATAATTGATAAAGACATTATGAACTATTTTCACTTTACTTTTATGTCGTCTATTTTTGCCTAAGGTTATCTGGTAGCCTATGTTCTGTGATTTCTCTTTGTATGGACCTAACGTTCAATGAAATACAAAACAGCAACCACAACGTACAAACATTTCCCACACAAATACATATGTGGGTGTGTAGTGAGTACACAAAATAATAACATAACAGCCATAACAGTACAAACAAACATACAATCTCTAGTGCACCTGTCCAGTGCGAACTGTTCCGTGCGTCACCATCACCAACTGCTGGACTACACCTGGAATAGCAGCGATGGGACAGGACTGGAACTACCAGTTGGATATCACGAAATTGGGGAGAAAAAGGGGTAAAAGTACCACAAAAGAAAATGTGTGTATATATATATATATATATATATATATATATATATATATATATATATATATATATACATTTATATATTAAAATATTTATTTTTTTGATGTTCCCCGGGGCACCAGAATCCATTTAGTCTGTTTTTTCATGCAATTTGCCACCGTTACCTCAATCCCCCACCTATTTTCCAATGAATTATAAACTGTTATTGGTTTGCCCTGTGCAGTCATTCGTAACCTCCTGAGGTTTGCCTGTTGCCTATTCCAATGAATTATAAACTGTTTATTGGTTTGTCCCTGTGACAGTCATTCGTAACCTCCTGATGGTTGCCTGTTGATTGTCGTGCGCCATCGTTGCATATCGTGAGCTGGAGGAGCGTTCGTCCAACTCCTCATCGAAGTGAATGGCAGCGGCGCATCATCCATCCGCTGAAAGGATAGTTTGCGACGCGACAAGCGTTTGGGGAGTACATTCATTGAAACGGAACGACTGTTTTTAAATTCTAGGGGGACTCTTGCTCCATGGTAAAATCTCAGCAGCGATGTCTCTGCTGTGCGTCAGAGGTTGGTTCTATTCCTCTTCCCTGTTCTTATTATACCGTACATATCTGTCCCATTAATGACATGGCACTCAGGAAAGTCTGTCTGGAGGCTATTGGGTAGCTGCGCATAGACCGTTGAGTTGGCACGTTCCAGTCCAAGCATGACCTGGAATGTGAGAAGGGAGCTATTCTATAACACATGTAGATGACATTTTGCCTTTATGTGTAGATTTTGGTTTTATATTTCACATCTGATTGATGATTAGGCCTATGACTTTTGATTCCACTCTGGCTACCTTCCACCATATTGTCCTCTCTTGCAATATCTTCCACTTTATGATGTGCTTGTGCAGATCTTCTCTCTAAGCAATAGTCCTGATAGTTTGAATGAGTTGAGTAAACTCCACTGTTGTTCTCAGTCTGTACTGTACTGTCCCTGAAGACACTCCACATAGTGGACCTAGATTGAGCCCACTTTGTGCCACTGGTCAACTAACTAATGCATTTATTGTTTAATAAAAAAGTTAAATAAAACAAAAACAACAAAAAAGTGTTGAGAAAAAAGAGCAGCAGTAAAATAAAATAACAGTAGGGAGGCTATATACTGGGGTACCGTTGCAGAGTCAATGTGCGGGGGCACCGGCTAGTTGAGGTAATATGTACATGTGGGTAGAGTTAAAGTGACTATTCATCAATAATTAACAGAGTAGCAGCAGCGTAAAAAGATGGGGTGGGGGTGGGTGGGGGGCAGTGCAAATAGTCTAGGTAGCCATGATTAGCTGTTCAGGAGTCTTATGGCTTGGTGGTAGAAGCTGTTGAGAAGTCTTTTGGACCTAGACTTGGCGCTCCGGTACCGCTTGCCGTGCGGTAGCAGAGAGAACAGTCTATGACTAGGGTGGCTGGAGTCTTTGACAATTTTGAGGGCCTTCCTCTGACACCGCCTGGAATAGAGGTCCTGGATGGCAGGAAGCTTGGCCCCAGTTATGTACTGGGCCGTACGCACTACCCTCTGTAGTGCCTTGCGGTCGGAGGCCGAGCAGTTGCCATACCAGGCGGTGATGCAACCAGTCAGGACGCTCTCGATGGTGCAGATGTAGAACTTTTTGAGGATCTGATGACCCATGCCTAATCTTTTCAGTCTCCTGGGGGGGGAATAGGCTTTGTCGTGCCCTCTTCACGACTGTTTTGATGTGTTTGACCATGATAGTTTGTTGGTGATGTTGACACCGAGGAACTTGAAGCTCTCAACCTGTTCCACTACAGCCCCGTCGATGAGAATGGGGGTGTGCTCAGTCCTCTTTTTTTTCCTGTAGTCCACAATCATCTCCTTTGTCTTGGTCACGTTGAGGGAGTGGTTGTTATCCTGGCACTACAAGGCCAGGTCTCTGACCTCCTCCCTATAGGCTGTCTCATCATTGTCAGTGATCAGGCCTACCACTGTTGTGTCGTCGGCAAACTTAATGATGGTGTTGGAGTCGTGCCTGGCCATGCAGTCATGGGTGAACAGGGAGTACAGGAGGGGACTGAGCACGCACCCCTGAGGGGCCCCCGTGTTGAGGATCAGCGTGGCAGATGTGTTGTTACCTACCCTTACCACCTGGGGGCGGCCCGTCAGGAAGTCCAGGATCCAGTTGCAGAGGGAGGTGTTTAGTCCCAGGATCCTTAGCTTAGTGATGAGCTTTGAGGGCACCAGGGTAGGGGAGGGAATGGCCGGCAGGGATGTAGCTCAG